GTGTCGATACGTGACACTCCGCTCCCTCATATTCATTAATCCTCTTGTGTCGATACGTGACACTCCGCTCCCTCATATTCATTAGGCCTTTCTTATCTTCGGTGCAGTATAACTAATTAATTCGTAATTTATGTTGTATTAATCCCCTCTTAGGGTAATAAATTTTAAAACATACACAATTATTGTCTTTTTAATTCTAATGACACTGATAGATATTAATGTTCCGAAAAGAAAAGACTAGTGTTTTAATGAAACAAAACAATGAAAAAGGACATCTTACAAATTTTAGAGAAACACAATAAATTGGTAAAAGAGGAAGGGAGGAGAAAGAGGAGGTTGAAGTATGTCAATACAAGCTACAAGTTAAATATTTAAAAAAAACACAAAATATATCATCCAAATCATGATTCAAATAGATTAGGTTATCAAATTTGTATGAATAATTTCATCAACGCATGAATACTACATACACTAGTCCACTAAAATTGACTAGAGAAATTTGGGATGAAAGTTTTGCATGCCAAATAACAAATAGAAAGAGTAGAAAAAGTAATTTTCAAATTTAGTAGCCAAATAAAAGTTTCTACCTTTTCGATAGATTGTTTGCTTAAAAATAATATATTTTTATGAAAGAAGATTTTGATTTTTTTTTCAAATAAACTAAAATTTAAATAATCAAATAATGAGACTGTCAAATTTATTCTATCAATATATGAGACAACAACACTAACATATCTCATCGTCTTGAGAATATTACAATTGTCACTAAAAAAAGAACATGTCATTCTTTAAACATTTTAATTTATCTAAGATTTCAGATACCCAAAAAAGATATGAAGGAACTAAAACATTATAATTTTTAGTCAGAGCAACCTAATGTTGCTTTAATTTTTAAAACTGTAGAGCTCAAAAGGTTATGAACAGAAGTCACTGCACTCTTTTGTTGCTTCAAGGAGATTGAAGCGTTGTCGGCATGACAAATCAATATTTGAAAAGCCATTGTCAAAATTGAACCATTTTGTGCATTTTTAGTAATGTATGTGTCCAAATTGTGGCGACCATCGGGACATATGATGAATCCTGAAGGCAAAATGGAAACTTTGTTGACATCACCTCCATTAAAAATTGAATTGACTGTTGACAAATCAATGGGTGCGTAGATTAAAAATGCTCCCAATTCATCAATGGCGGACTCTTGAAGAATCAACATGTTTTTCTCTTCTGGAACATAAGGCTGCATTTACATTACAATTATCATTAAAAAAAATACTGTAAGCAGTAAAAAATTACATATGTATATTTTTTCCCTTTACAACAAACTTTTCTTTCATTAATCTCATCTAACATTGTATTATAATGAAATGTTATTTTCTACATCCTTTTGGAAACCAATGAATAACAAAATTTATAGTTAATTCTTATCCTTTTATATACTGGAATATACTAATAATAATTAGTTTGATAAAAATATTGAAAGAAAAGAAAGTGGAATAATTAATCTAGGAATTGCATTTCATGTAATATTCAAAGATCAAATAGTATAGTGAAAAAAAAATTGCAAGTTATACATTGTGGTGTTATTACATGCCAAAGGAATATGAATATCCATTTTTTTTTAACAAGAAATAGTGAAATACCATTTTATTTATAGATTAAGAAAATAAAAACAAATTATAAACAATTAAAGATGATAAATACCTGAATGATTGTAATATTGTTTCCTGGAACACATCCTGTTTCTATTCTTGCTAATTCAGTGACAGTATTTTCACCAGCCAAAACATCCCACTGATAATAAAAAAAAGTCAAATATAAATTCAATAATAAACGAAACAATAATTTTATAGTAAAAATATTAGCATATGAGATGAGCATTGTAAGATCACATAGTAAAAATAAAAATAAAAAAAGTTATGTAAAATTAATGTCAAGAGATAAACACGTAGAAAACAACATGAGAGCGCAAAAATAAGTAGAATAGTTAAAATAAGGACTTTGACTTAATGGTTAGGAAGATTTTTAATAAATAACACATTATACATTTGAAATTATGAGTTCAGATTTTCATACTTATTGTTGCTTTTGCTGGTTTAATATGTAAATCTATAGTGGATCTGCAAGTTTACTAAGTTTTTCGTCGATTGGTTAAAAAACAAATTTTACTCAGATTAATAACTCTAAAAAATTTTACAGACGTTTGGAGCATAGTATTAAAAATTTAATGTACAATAAAAGGATACGTAGAAGAAGACGAATATATAACAACATTTCTGTATAATATCTATGTTTTACATATAAGACGACGACTATATAACAACATTTCTGTATAATATCTATGTTTTGTTTTGAACCTACGTGTATATTAAGGTTGTTATATTATATGATATTTCTAACGACATTTCAACGTGAACATCAAAAAAAATATTTGAACAAATCACTCTACTATCAAGATTATAAAACATACCTGACACCTTGAGTTATTATCTTTGAGGAAATTAAAAACATTTCGGCATGAAAGAGGAAGCCAGAGGGAAGTAGCAGCAGTGATAATGAAGCCTTTTTGTTGTGTAATGTCTTCATTTTTTCTTATAGAAACTCTATCTTCACTTTTAAATTTTGACGAAGTTGGAAAATCTAATTTTTCAGTCATGCTTAGGATTTCACAAAACCTCTTCACCATCCTTAGAGATATTTGCATTATATTTTCGAGGATTTCTGGATCATTGAGCACTGCAAATAAAAAAAACAAAATTAAAAAATATATTTAACTTATCATTTTAGACTGTAAATGGCGTCACAAAAGTCATTTTTAGAGAATAATTAACTACTTGAAAAAGTATTTATAAAAGATTATTTCAGATTGATCTTACTCATAATAAATTTATCAAAGTTGATGGTGTTTTGATGAAATCATCAAATTTTAATGGTGGTAATAATGTATAATTGTCATTAAAGTGTTGATATAATGCTAAAGTTTATATGATTGTGAAGAGAAAAATGACTTCCCCCAAATTACAAAAAAAGTAATCATATTTTAGCCACTTTAAAGAAATATCATTTTCTTTAATCAAATCGATAAATTACTTATATTTTAAGAAAAATAAAATAAACTTGTGAGAAAAAACACACATTAAAATATAAAAGAGAAATTCAGAAGTAATGTCATGTACATTTAGGCAAAGAAAAGGAGATTAATTTATTGTTGAATCTTTTAATCAAATAGATTAGTTTCTTATTTCCTAGTTTTAAGGGTACTTTTACTATTTCTATGTTACGTGAAACATGTGACTTAGCATGTTAAAGTTAATTTACTTGATGGCTTGAGATAATGAAGAATGTGCATTGCCAAGGCTGGTCATTGTTTTTTGTTAGAGGATTTTTTCTACCTCCCCACCTCTTTTGTGTTTATCTAGATTTTTTCCCAATTTTCTAATAGTTGTATACCCACATTTTTTTCTTTATCAAATTGGCCTTGAAGTCATTAATTTATTTTACAAAATCCTTACGTTGTAATATAAATTAAAAAATATAAAGCCGTAAACATATAAAGAAGGTACATAAAATAGAACCTTGTTTTGGATCATGCCTAGAAAGACTTGTTGCACCCACTTCAACACTATATCTTTCGCACATTCTTTGAAGTGTAACAATCCATCTTTTAGCTCCATATGTTTGACGGTCAATCAATAAAGGCAAAAACATATTATGGACTGGAATTTTTTCATCTACTTGAACATGTTCAATCCAAGTAACCTACATAAGAAAAAATTATTCAAGAAATCAAATAAATATTTAGCTAGATCATTAGTAATATTAACGACATGAAAGTATGTTGGAAATAATAATTTTTCAGAAATGAGATATAAGGTGAAGATTTTTTTAAAACAACACATAGTGAAAGTTATTCATCCATTTTTTAAAATTTGAACATCTTGACATGAACAACATAATATGGGTCAATGTTCAATATCGAACATAATGTGGATCAATGTTCTAACATCGGTAAATTAAGAGTAATACTTATAGGTCTAATGACTCTATTAACATATATTTTTAAAAATCGTTATTCAATCTAACATAATTTCAAATTATAACATATAAGCCTGTTGGTGGGATTCTACAAGCGTATACATAAAGTAAAAAAAAACATTTCTAAATGAATAATGGGGACACTTTAAATAGCCCCGAACGTACATTCCAATATTTGGAGCGTTATCGACATTATTTGGAGTGTTATCAACATAACATGATGATCCAAAATTGGATAAATCAAGAACAAATACGGATTTGGTTCTTATATTATATTAATAAAAATAAACATTATGAGATAAGTATCGGTACATGTTAATTTTTTCCTAGATGATATGCTCAAAAATAAGTTACACACACACACATATATATCATTAATTTGAATTGTAAAACAATCTCTCCCAAAAATTTGTGTGTAGAATTGCGTACAATAGAACTTTTTGATATTGATACATATATAGATAGGAAAATTACTTACCCTACTTTCTCCATGTTCCAAATCTTGGATTGCACAACCAGAAGGAAATTTCCAAGCATGAGAAGTTTCACCACTTTGGATCTCTTTGATTAGATCATATGAAACATCCACCATAATCCATGTTTTTTCATCAAGTTTTCTAAAATAACGTATAAAGTAATAATTTCTAGCTTCAACTAGAGGAGATAGAATATGTAACTTTTCATACATCTGTTTTCAAGAACCAAGAAAAATGTTCATATTAAAGGAAGATTTTTGAATATATTTTTTAATTTAATTGAAACAAATAAAAAATGATGTAATATAAATTTACCAATTGCATAGAGCCTCCTAAATCTCCCGAATCAAGTACTTCAACAGTCCTAGCTTTGGTGACAATGGTAGGAACCATGTTCATCCATTTGATCTGCATATAACAAATTAATTATTTTTAAGAATATGATTTATGATCAAAAAAGAAAGACAATAATACTTCAAAAGCAATTTAACTAACTAGGATCATATATAGCTAAGTAAACAAAGAATTCATCTAAATTGCAGCTTGAAACTCGTGTAATTAACTTAATTTTCTTTTAGTTAATCCTAAAATCGCTATGAAAACTACTTATTGTAAATAGTTTTAACTCTATTTCAACTTATGATAATCAGTATTTTGTGAGATAAAATCAAATTAAAATAGTTTATTTAAAAGACATAAATTTAAAATCAATCAAAACGACCATAGAATTCGAAAGTCATTGAGAATGGCTATCTTTAGAATATCATTAAGTTAAAAAATTAGATTTTCGAAAAATCATGAAAACATGTTCAATCTTTAACTAGTCTCTCAAGTTTGAAATTTGTATGGTGTGTTTTCGCATGAAAAACGACTAGTTTTTACCAAATTCTAAAAACATTAGTTACTTTTAAAAACTATATCCAAATAGTTGTTAGCAATTACAATTTTTCTCTTTTCAACACATGGGAGAGCTAAAATATAAAATGAAGTAATTAACCCTTTCATTACAACATTGGCACATTCTAAGAATATATATATCAATTTAAGCAAAAGTAGATAATATACCAGTCATAAGGTATAACGTGAAAGTATCAACGACACTTACCGGATCAAGAAAATTTTGGATCAACTCAATTACATTCATTGGCACCACTCCATAAACCTTTGATGATTCAAATCGAGTTGTCGGTGATTCGCCAGGCTGATTTGGATTTGAAAATATTTCCTCATAATTCTCCCAATTAAATAAAAATTCATTACTAATTGATGATTCAATAGAAATTGGAATATCGAATTTTAAAAGTTCTGCCATTTCATTTAATGCTGCAATAAGTATCCCCAAAATAATTGATTTCTCCCTATTATTATGATGAAATTCATAATTTTCTTGTGGCGATGGAGACATTACTGAGGATATATTATCACTTATTGAATGAGCTCTAGCATTATTGTTATTATTATTATTATTACTACTTTGAAGAAAAGGAGGATGATATGCAGTGGAAGATCCACTAATATTTTGGCTCAACAAACTCTCATAAGATGTATTAGATTTTGGTGGTGCCATATTTGAACCCATCGTTCCAGGAACACTTGGAATGACATTTGATATGCTTTCGTGCTGCAAAATATAAAAAAAAACTAAATAACAATTCTTAATTAAGTCACTTATTACTATACTAAGTGATCATATAACATTCTTATCATATATCATCAACATCATCATATTTCTGTAATCAAATTTACGTCATATTCTATACTATTAAATATATTTGTAAGTTATGTCAATGTAGAAATTTTTATGTTGTTTTTGTTAGGTCGTTATACTTTTTCATACATATTTTCCTTTTTGAGTTGTTAATTTTATATTAAAGTTTAATTAACTTTTAATTGATTTAACAGAAATATATTTAGTATGAAAAATGTTCACTATTTTCTACCATTTTGGTGTTATTCTTTTGTTATATTTTTAATACTATTATAACAAACAATTCAACGAATATATTATTGTAATGTTCACAATCACCAAGTATCTTTAGCACATATAATTATTTATCTTTTTTTACTTATTTTATGTTTATGCATATGTACATCGTGAAATTGATACTGATTTACTAGACATTGTAAGGATGGCATATCCTGATCATATTTTTGTATAACTCTTACAAGATGCTCACAATATTGGCGATAACTTTTTGATATATAACTATTTGATAAAGAGAATACAATTTCTCAAAGAGCAGGCATAAATTTTTAGGCATAAATATTTTTAATTATTAGTCATCTGCTTGTTCAACCATTTGTATTAGTCTGGATTTAGTTCAAATCTTCCATTTAATATTCAAAGATCTTTTTTATTTGTTAATGAGTCCGAAATTTTTTTTAAGAGGAAGTAATTGTTGTATTAAATCACACATTCGAACAACGTAACAAAATTTGGAGAAACATTTTATGGCCTAATACAAAAGATTCACTAGCCACACCATGGAGTCTACCCAACTTTCAATTAGTAATTTATTTCTTAAGTATTTTAAATTTTTTAATGGAAAACAAATCGATTCATCATTATGTAAACATTAAGAACAATAATAATAATGATAATGTTGATGATAACAATTATAATAAAAAGCCATCAATTAGAATTAGAGCATTTATAGAAAAGACAATCTAATTAAGAAATACCTCAACCGGAGTACTTTTGCTTTGAAATCGAACCACGTTCTGCTCGGTATAAGGCCCTATTTCTCTACTCAGTTTATTTTGTTGATTCTCATTTGGGTGTGAACGTGCACTGGAGGATCTTCATTTAAGAATATAAGAAAAGAACAATAGTTATTGACAATTTTTTTTAAAAAATAAACCTAAAAAGAAAAGAATTAAGGACTTTATGCATCATAAAAGACATGATTGGTTGATAAGTCTCTGTCATTAGCTAGGATCTCAAAATTTGTATTTCAAAATTAAATCATCATTGCTAGAGAACCTTTCATTCAAAAACATTTGACTTAATCCCATTGTTAATCGTAGGGATCATGTTTTCCCTCTACATTGTGTCTGTCATCTTCGGTAGGGAGCATTTTACTAAAAAAGTTAGACTTTCTACTGAATTTATGAATAATTCAACCCCTAAAGTTGGACTTTTCGACACATATTTAGCGTATATGGGACAGAACTACTAATTTTTGTCAATCAAATCTTGATTAGTGGAACCCTAATGCGGGTTTTTTGATGTGATTCTTAATTAGTCGAGTCTAGAAATAATATCGAGAACCAACCATTAGAAAGAAGTTACATTTTTTATTTAAAATGAGAAAGACATTTAACCTAAAGAAACTAACGTCTTTATTGCTTAGACACTAACGAATAATCAAGAAGAAAGAGATTAATTGATTAAAGGTATATCAAAAGTACGTACATTTAACTAAATATTAACGGGGCTATAAAAACAAAAGAAAAACGCAACATATGAAATGAAGAACAAGTTAACCTAAATTAATGGAAAAAAACACATATAGAAAATAAATTATTATATCACTAAATAGTTTTTGATTTTACCACTCATCCCTCTGAAAAAATAACATTATCTATGTAACCAAACAAGACAAAACTATAAACGTATATGAATGTACCAGTTTCTATTTATTTTACAAATTAATAAACTTACGTTTCAACAGGTTGAGTTTTTTCCACTACGAGTCTCTGATTTTGTCTCCGCTTTTCTAATCTTTGCTGACACGTCCTTGAAGATTCTCCAACATGTCCATTCTCTGAATCTGTCATTTATTTTTTCTATATTTCTGTTGAATAATACAAAACAAAACAAAAAACAATGTTAATCTATTTGATTTATGATTTACAGAATTAAATTATCTATGAAGATACTAAAATAGAACTAGGAGAGCAGATATACACAAGAGAGATTTCTACACACTTTTGACTGATAAGAAGAGATCGTGTGAGAATTTATCAATTCATAGTGAATGATATGTTTATATAGTTGAAAAAATTGGCTTAATATGTGAGATACATATTGTAAAATATAATAGTTAAAAATTGTAAAAAGGAGAAAAATCGGATATATTATAAAGTATGAACACAAGAAAAAAATTGTGATTTGTTTTAATTATCTTTCACAAAAATATTTTGTTTTAAATAGTATATGTGGTTTGCTATTTATATATTTTCTATAAAAGTTATATCATAGGATAAATTTCATAAATGAAAATATAATTATGACTTTCACAAAAATATTTGGTTTTGAAATAGTATATATGGTTTGCTATTTATATACTTTCTATAAAAATTTATCATAGGATGAATTTCATAAATGGAAATATAATTATGACAATTATCAATCAAAGCTTCATAATTATGTTAATAATAGAAAAATTATACGTTTATTTTTCATATTAAAATGACCATCTCCAACCTTTTTCAATTTGACGCTCTATTTTCTATATTTGGAGAGTAAATTAAAGGATTCTCTCTCTAACCACTCGTTATTTCACACTCTAGTCTTCAATTATCAGAGGTGAATAATATTTTTTCAAATTTAGAGAATTACTATTCACACGCTCTAGTTTACTTTCTGATTATATTATTATTATTTATATTATATAACATTTATAATTAACATATTGTTAATCAAAGAAATCCATTAATTAAATTTGTCATGTATTTAATTATTTTTGAATATGATATAATATTTATGTATATTATAAAATATATACTACTTTTGTGCCAAATTAATAATATTTTTTTTAAAAAAATTTTTTGTTCACGTTAAGTGATATATTTTGATATTATGATCAATTTTCAATATGAAGAATATACATAATTTAAATGATATGATGAAATTTTTAATTTAAAATTACAATACATAACACAACAATTTAAACACAAGTTGACAACACATTACTAAAAATAACAATTTTAATGATTACAACAATAATTTAGAAGTTCGATAGGTCGTTTTTGAGATTTAATGAAATTTGAAAAAATAGTGTATGATACAAAGAATTGTTGCAGTTGTGAATGCGGTTTTACTTATTGATTTTTTCTTTTTCAATTATCATAGTTGTTCTTTAGAAATTTAGAGAAATAGAATTTTATATTAAATAAGGAATTTCAAAAAACTAAAATTTAATATTACACAAGCCCACTTCTCATTATTTAAGACTAAAAATAACCCCTCTAACCATAGATAATAATAACACCTGGACCATCAATCTCTACTTATTAGCCCACATACCAATGGGCCCACTCATTTGGAATCAATTCCAATAAACTATATATAAGTCATTTAAATACAACCCAATAAACACATGTTTACAAAAGTCGTAATTCACATATCTTTTAGGGTACAACATACAAATCCTCAGTATCCTTAGAAGGTAAATATGAAAGTAATAGTTACAAATGGTTCTCTCATGGAAGCTACATCCAAACTATGTTGGAACGTGTTACCACCCAGACTGTCGTGATTTTCACCACACTTACCCTTCCATGGGAGAATCATTAGTAAAACCCAAACAAATTGTCTATTTATGAACACTAAGAAATTTAAAGATACAAAAGTAGGTTTAAATGACAATAAAATTGTGTCCCCATAAAATCCAAGGCTTTCACAATCACTAACCAAACTAATGCGGAAGAACAACCCCTAGAACCTAAAAATCATTATATCAAAACTCTACTAACAACAAGTATAAGAACAAGGGGTACAATCCAAAAACTAAACAACACCTTAAATAAATAGTCTAAGTCCAAAAAGAGTTTACTTAAACAAGAAATCCATGGCAGCCTCAAAGAATTGACTCACCCTTGAATCCAGTCACGTTCAATTGACCAAGTTAAGGTCCATTAATAGTAATTTGAAGATGCTCTAAACTCAACAAAGAATACGTAAGTGCAGTATCAGTATTCAAGCATAGTGTACAGGTAGGATCACACGACTATCCCACTATGTTCAACATACATAAGACAACACAACATAATAATACGATGCATACACCGAACTTATAGAATATCATAATCAATTACGAACAATGTACAGTTTCCTAATTCACAAATGTCACAATTATATCAAGTAGTTGGTCCTCTTTTGGAACCCAACCACAAACTGTAACAATATCGAAACATCATATATGATCCAAATTAGTTATGTCGATCAAGGTTCATTAGGATAGATCATTCATGAAATGGGTATACTTCTTTATAAATCTTTTTTTCATATTCAAGGTTTTCACATTCACTTAGGGTTCTAGACTCATCAAGAAGGGTCATCATTCTTAGGTCTATTGGTTCAAGACATTCTAGAATACCTCTTTTGTCATCAACTTAGGTCTACCGATCCTAGACTATCATTCATTCATCCTCACGACAAGGGTGCCTAATTCTACCAAGTCAACATATTACATTCAATGTAAGTTTCATGTATCAAGTAGGGACAACTAGGTCTACCTAATCAAGACACCATATCAACATGTAAAGACTCTTCATAGTCTATCATATCACACATCAACATTTAGAGGACTCATGCCTTTCATAACATTAACTCGCATTATACAAGTCCACATTCACATTACATTCGCATTATACAATATCACATATATATCATATAATCCTTCATTTTATACATTCATATATGCCATAACTTCATTATACAAGGTCACATTGACTTCACATTATAGCTTCATACATATCATAACATGAAACAACTACAATTCATATAGTAATGCCTACAATGCAAGGATTACAGTAAGAACAAGCAGTAAACACTGTCACCATAAGTGGACCATACCACATAATAGCAGTTTCATATCAATTCTACATTATAAAGGGAATTAGGTCAACTTATCCTCATCCAATAGCCAAGATCGTCATTACTTAACATCTTAAACAATTCATAATATAATAGCATAATTTACAATAGAAATCAACTATGCAACTTATTATAATCATAATTCCATCAACATTATATCATAAGGAATAAAAGCCAATTTAAAAGCCAAATTGAGGAATTTTTTCAAGATCAAGGTTTCATGGTGATTTTCATTGTGAAAGATCAATTTAAAATCAATAATTCACATCTAATGATTTGAGATCATTTCATGCAAGAACCCTTGAGTTAGAGTGAACATTTAAATTTTTAATAAACTTTGAAATCACGTTGAAATTGTCTCAAAGGTGATAGCTAACATTAGATAAATAAATCACATACCTTACTAGATGAAATGCCAAGATAATTGAAGAATGAATTAATTGGAATCCATAGCCCTAGCTCCGACATTATCTTGAACTTCCATGGAAATATAGAGAGAACTCTCTTAGGAGAAAGGGCTTTGATTTTAGGAAAAGTGAATAATGAATTCTATTTAGGGATTTAAATGTTTTATTACTCTTAAAAAAAAACTTAAATAAGCATAAAATCACCGACCCTACCCTTTAAAATACTTGGGGTTAATTAACCATTTCACCCCCAAGTTGGCAGAACCACCTCAGAATTGCAGGTCTATTTGACGCCCACCAGATGAGGGATCGTGACTTGGCCCACGCCCCGTCAATGGGGTCCTTGATTTCGGCCAGAGGCTCAAAAATATGCATGCCTGATTACCACTCAAGACTGACTGGCCTTTAATGCATTGATGGTCCATCATTTGGAGTCGTCAATCATGTTGCCTGGCAACTTCTTCACTAAAAGATGGGGTCCTCCTCAAGTGCCCCTTGTGGGTCCTTGGGTAGTCATACCCAGAATTGAAACCCCTAAACTCGATATTCTACAAACATGAGTCATCCCCACCATGATTTAGACGTCAAAAAACACACTAACTTCAGCCAAAACACATAAGAGAACATTAGCACATAAAAGACTAGTCTCCGAACGTTTTGGTCGTTCCTTGACGTTTGACCTCAAATACAACCAAACTGACCTATAAACTCAGTTTAACATTACATCAACAACTTATCAACTCATAAAACACATGTGAAGATCTATTTAATTTTTGGGATTTACAGTTCTTGGTGAAATCCTTAGTTCTTTAGAGAACGCTTGAAACCCTTCCTTTTCTCCTCTTCAAACTTGCTCCAAAATACCCAAGTGTTTTTGAATGTCAAAAATAAACGTAGTGTCTAATTAGACCCATAACTTCGGTGATAAAACTTTGGTCAAAGTCTAGTGGGGGTATGTAAAATATCATATTACCCTTCCCTCAAAGGGATCAAATGCCTTAACTAAAGAGGCTTCATAATTGTTTACTCCCAGCTCCAAATTTAGCAAACTTCACATTATTGTAAAGAGGAAACCAGAACCTCAATTTTATAGCTTGTGGGTCACCTATTTCATTATGTGGTGAAATATATGGTCTTTTGAAGTTGACCCAAAACTAAAAAGTGATGGGTAACATGTATGAACTTTTATTTAGCTCTTTTGAAGTCCAAGGTGTTATGGATATGTAGACTAATGTACTGAAACTTCAAAAATTCAAAGAACGACCCTACCTTTTATGGAAAATAAGGACGGGTGGTAGAACTTTTTATAGATGATCGACTATCCATGCTAAGTACTTCAGATCATAGGCGATCTAGTTTGTACGAATGATTTTAGGAGTCGTATTATGTTCTATGAACAACAAAATGGTCCGTAGAGTTGAACTTTTGAAATTCAATATTTTCTTCTTGTCTTATACAAACCCATTCACAGACCTTTGATGGTCGTATTTCTTGAGAATGACATCCATATTTGACCTCAGATAGTTTTAAATAAGGGATTTTTAGTCTTT